ACTAAAACTCAATAATGAGTCAAAGCATTGTTAATAATGCCATGTTTAATTAATTGAAATTCAAATTATCTGAAAAATGTAATAGATGAAACGAACAGCTTGCAGATATGTCATTTCAGCTACCAAACCAAATCTTCTCCATATGAGATCAAGACTTGACAAAATATCCCTTGATTGAAGCTGTATTTATTTCTAACAGATTTTTGAGTGTTGGTTCTTAGTTGTATATTTTTTACTTTCTCATTCTATAAAGGTGTTTGTTTATAGATGTGAATTATGTGATTACAATCCCTTCAGTCATGCACTTGATTATGCTTATATATATATAAAGAACTTATCAGAACCTCTAAGATTCAAGGTTTTGGATTCAAAATTTCTATTCTATCTTATCTGTTTCTTTTATTGTATCAGAACTTGAGTCTTATGTTAAAGGAATTTTGACCTGGCGTAATCTTCTTTCTGAAATCTATTCTAAGCATAAGCTCAAACTTAAAAAATTCTTCCGTAGATTAAACCATTATAAAGCATATATAAAACACTTTCAAAGAAACCATAGGATCAATTTAATTTAAATGAATTTTAATAAGAAAAGCATTACCAAGCTACACTTTGCACTATATTAAGTTATCAGCTCACTTAAAAGGTTAAGTTAGTAGGTGAGGGTTCAACAAATATTAGACCAATAGGGCCCCTCACATCAAACTTGATTGTTTTTTCTTTATCCAATTTGTATGTGGGGATTCGAACTTGAGATCTTTGACTCTGATATCATGTTAAATTGTTATCCCACCTAAAAGCTTAATCTAGTAGGTGAGGGCTCAATATACATTAAATCAATACACTTGAACATGACCGAGACTTGCATACATATTAATATATATGATTATTTCACTACCACTAAGAATACCATCGATTTTTTTTTTTTTTTTATGGGCCGCGCCAAACATGAGCAATCTCTCCTTATTGCACTGAATATATGTGAGATTCTAAATAGTTTGAGAAGGAGAAGTGAATGCTAGTTATATACCCTGTCAGCTCCTAAATTGTTTCTTATGCATTCTGGGTTACAAAGGCCGAAGGCAAAATGTGAGACTGTGTGTTTAAAGCAAACAATATCTAGTTGTGGATCGAGGTGTGTTTCATATTAGCTAGTTAAATAATCATTATATGATATAAGGAAGTATTAATACAGAGAAGTATGAAGCATTGGATGAGAATTAACTCATTGTCAATCAATCCATTGTCCATCACTTTTTTATCTAATTTTTTTTACTTGTAAACTTTGATTGACCCGAAATATATTCAATCCCAGTTTGGAAATAGTATAAATGCATTAATTGTAAATATCAACTAGAATTTTTCATGATATCTTTTTCTTACCAAAGTACTTGATACAGTAATCTATATAATTTTTTTACAATCCTACATAATATAATACCATGATAGCTGTGAACCGTGTTCATAGATTGAAGGGTTCCAATCACATATGATAACTTTCATTAAACAAGAGTTATCGAATGTATAAAAATTAGCATCCGTAGTTAGATTAAATCCAGAATTTCATAACTACTTTATGCAATTTCAATGTACGTTGAACATTCATCTTGGTTTTTTATTGACCAGGATTCATTCTTTCAAATTATCCTGCCATTTGCCATATTGTGATATAAATTATTATCCAAATTTAATTATATTATAGAAAAAATTTCATGCTAAATTAAACACACTAATCTTATTGCTTAATTAATATCTGAAACGCTTGAAAAGACAAAACGAATTAACATGTCCAGAAGATAAGTTTCAAGTCCAACAGCTGATAATGAAATTCAGGTACAGCTTCATTTTTGTGGCCCATTATTTCCAAGGAAAATACTTGTTAATACATTCTTGCATTCCAAAATGCCTTCAGCAGCTTCAGACCCTAACAAAAATATAGAATGAAACCCATCTCAGCTCAACTTTGCTCATAGTAATATTATTTATAAATACCATGTTAAATAAGAGAAGCATGCGACATCGTTTAGACCAGGTAACAAAACGCTGTCGTTTTGTCTATTAGTCCAAATGAATCACGGCCATCAAAGTTAAAGAGAATCCAACGGCTCAAATGCAATCAGAAGTTAACAGTATAAAAATGGACTATTCACGCATTTGGCAGAGAGATGAGTTTTAGGGTCTTCGTTTCGTTTTCTCTGTAAAATCGTTTCATCTGGGTTAGGGTTTCACATTCATTCTAGTTCTTCTTTGTGTGAATCTTTCTAGAGTCTTGTTTGAGGGCAAGGGTTCCTTAAATAGAGTACTATAGGGTTTGTTGGGATTTGCGAGAAACAGGGAAGTGAATGAGTGTTTGATTCTGTGGTTGACAGTGAAGAAGATTCATCTGTAAATTCTAATCTTTGAAGTGATCAATACTAGTGCAGCGAGCTCCATATTCTGGAGTTCAACGTGGATGTAACTTGTTCTATATTGAACAAGCGAACCAAAGTATATCTTGTGTTGTGTGATTGTAAATTGTTCTTGCATTTTCTGTTTTGTGTTGTGACTAATCTTGCAGGTTGAAGGATTGGTATTGATTTACAACAGTGGTATCAGAGCATTTTAGGTCTAAATCGAGTCTAGGGTTAGAAATCATTCAACTCTTGACGAACTCAAAATTAGGGTTTGTCAGATTTTGGGGGTTTTTTGATTTAAAGGTCCCTAGATCTTTAGGCTATCAAATCTTATTGAGTCTTGGGACTAATTCATGAGATTAGGTCACATACACAAGGGTTCGACGAAAATAAGGCAAAATCAAAATTAGGGTTTTGTCAAGATTTAGGGGTTTTCTTTTCTAATTAGGGTTTTGAATACTTTTTTAGTCTATTTAAGGGTATATAGGTTGGAAAACCAGTGCCCGCCTTAAAAACTGCCTGGCAGTATTTGGCAACTTCTGGTGTAACAAAGCCACGTACTTCTTATACTACTCTGTCTTGTCATTGTAAATATGATGAACACTACCACGCGTGTAGAGATATCCTAGTATGATGGGAAGATGGATTTCAATACCTGGAAGAAAAAGATGAAGGCACTTTTATCCCACAACAAGGTGGGAATAGCACTGGAGAAAGATGAAACCAAGTGGTCAGAAGAAAAGACGAAAAAAAAAGCAGAGATAGATGAAGAAAATAAAACTACAGAACATCAAATATACATATATAAGCAAGGAACAGTACTATTATTCAACAGAAATCTATCATGTGAGAAATGGGGCTCGATTTCAAGGTTCAGTTTTGCCTACTGCTAAAAATAAAATAAGAAACCTAAAAAAAATAAAACTGTTCAATCACGTTTTAACTACTAGATAAAGGTCCCACAACTAAAACTCAATAATGAGTCAAAGCATTGTTAATAATGCCATGTTTAATTAATTGAAATTCATTATCTGAAAATGTAATAGATGAAACGAACAGCTTGCAGATATGTCTTTCAGCTACCAAACCAAACTTCTCCATATGAGATCAAGACTTGACAAATATCCCTTGATTGAGCTGTATTTATTTCTAACAGATTTTTGAGTGTTGGTTCTTAGTTGTATATTTTTTACTTTCTCATTCTATAAAGGTGTTTGTTTATAGATGTGAATTATGTGATTACAATCCCTTCAGTCATGCACTTGATATGCTTTATATATATATAAAGAACTTATCAGAACCTCTAAGATTCAAGGTTTTGGATTCAAATTTCTATTCTATCTTATCTGTTTCTTTTATTGTATCAGAACTTGAGTCTTATGTTAAAGGAATTTTGACCTGGCGTATCTTCTTTCTGAAATCTATTCTAAGCATAAGCTCAAACTTAAAAATTCTCCGTAGATTAAACCATTATAAAGCATATATAAACACTTTCAAAGAAACCATAGGATCAATTTAATTTAAATGAATTTTAATAAGAAAAGCATTACCAAGCTACACTTTGCACTATATTAAGTTATCAGCTCACTTAAAAGTTAAGTTAGTAGGTGAGGGTTCAACAAATAAGTCCCACACTCTGCTTCTCTCCCAGGTTTCACTTCTCTTCATTTTTTTTTTTTTTTCTCCTTGTGGCTTTCTGGGTCAAGGCTTTTTTTCAGTGACTTGTTTCACTGAGTTTTAGGCTTTACAATTGGAACCCAGGTAGCTTTTGAGAGGAACGACCGTTTCTCGGTTGTTGAAACGGCAGCCGTGAGACAATTGACTGGATCGTTGACTGGATCATTCTTCACATTCTTGATAGTAATCTCGTCGGAAAATTGACCCAGACTGAAACCCCATCCATCAGCATCTTCAGGCCAACCAGGATCATCCTCCTCCACAACAAGTGGGTAATCTGCGGCGGTTTCTTCATCTTCTTCTTCCTTTCAATAGGTTCTATCTCCTCCTTAACATCAGGACACCGATCAATCACTTCTCTGATCTTTCTCCTCCATTCAAGTCTCTCTTCGGGATCCATAACTGGGCCATCATCCAAATTAATTGTAGAAAACAAATAACACACCCTTATATGCAATTTAAGATAGTTAGATATAAGACCAGTAAACTGCAAATGAAAGAGAAGTTTTGAATCCATTTTCCATTAAAGGTGGATATTATGAACACTTGAAACTCACTGTATGTTGTAACGCCATTTCTGTTCATTGTCCTGTCCACTCCAAGAGTTATCGGATGTATAAAAATTAGCATCCGTAGTTAGATTAGATCCAGAATTTCATAACTACTTTATACAATTTCAATGTTCCGAGCTACGTTGAACATTCATCTTGGTTTTTTATTGACCAGGATTCATTCCATTTCAAATTATCCTGCCATTTGCCATGTTGTGATATAAATTAATATCCAAATTTAATTATATTATAGAAAAAACTTCATGCTAAATTAAACACACTAATCTTATTGCTTAATTAATATCTGAAACGCTTGAAAAGACAAAACGAATTAACATGTCCAGAAGATAAGTTTCAAGTCCCAGCAGCAGATAATGAAATTCAGGTACAGCTTCATTTTTGTGGCCCATTATTTCCAAGGAAAATACTTGTTAATACATTCTTGCATTCCAAAGAAGCCTTCAGCAGCTTCAGACCCTAACAAAAATATAGAATAAATCCCATCTCAGCTCAACTTTGCTCATAGTAATATTATTTATAAATACCATATATACATGCAATAACCAATTGCAGAAAAATTATGTGATAGACATACCTCTTCAACGCCAAAATCAACAACCTTCTCTTCAAGTGAACGCACATCCTTAACATGAAACCTGTTTAGCATGGTGATGCAAGAAATAGTAGACATTGGCTTCAACTCCAAGTTATCCATTACCATATATGTCACTACCGCTTTAACGAACCCTCTCTCAGCTGCAACGGTGGTGCTTTTGCCCGCTGGATTACTACTAGCGTTTACATAAGGAACCTCAGTGGTCATTTTCTGGTGGGACTGCGGACAAACCACGTTTGGAATTTCAGCCACATTCGAATGCTTGTATGGGCACATGTAAACACTTCGAGTTTTCAATTCATGATCAGACAACAAAAGGGGCATATCAGTAGAATAGACTGGAGATTTGGGATTGAGAAGAGAGCTCTTGTTTTGGTTTGGCTGAATATATATTTCGTTGAGATGTTCAATACTCTCATAAAGATTACCTAAACAACCCACCATGTTTTTCTTTTCTAAGAGACTGACAATAGTGCCAGCAGGCAAAGAAAGTAGGTAGAAGAGAAAATCTGCAAACTGTTTGCCTGCTTCAGCAAATAGGACTATATTAGCTTCTTTGTCAACAAGAAGCTTCAACTCTACTTTGGCATCTGCCATGGTTAATTTTGGAGTGTTTAAAACAAGTTATATAGAATTGGTAACTGATGATGTGGTTTACACACATTGTAAAGCTAAATTTATAGGGAAGAAAAGTTGATCAGGATTCATTACACAGGAACAGTAATCGTGAGCAGTTAATTTGTAATGAAGAGGTTATATATTATGCCTGGTTTCAAAGTTGTAGAATAATCCCTCCACCTTTCGGAACAGATCTTACAATTTCGTCCACCAACTGTGCTATTCATTTCAATAAATAATTTATCATAGAAATTTGATATATAACCTAATAGTTTCCCACTTAGTATAATCAATGGTTTAGATGTGTAATCCGCAAAACGCAACAAAAATTCGGATTGCCGCAATCTAATTTTAGAATTATAGTTTTAGTTCTGCCACTAATATTTTTGAGTCCTCTGTTTTTTTTTCCTCCAATTTTTAGAATGATCTATAGAAATGTGAAAACCTAATAAGCAATTAATATACCAGTCAAAGACAATAATCTTTATCTTTTTTTAAAGGCATGAGATGTAAATAGCTCTTAAAGAATAAGGAAAATCAAAGCATTCCCAAAAAAGAATGTGATTCAAGCACCCAATAAAGTAAAGTTAAGTTGGGTTCTTTGCCTTCAAGAAATAATGTAAACTTACTAAGTCTCAAAGCTGTTTCTATCATCCAGGAAATACTAAATTTTAAAAGCAAAGGAGTCATAAGGATGAAGAAAGCAAAATGGGCGAGGAAAAAGAGAGAGAATAAAACTACATATTAATGATTAAGCAGTACTTCAGACTGGTGGAATCCGGAAGGCTTCACAATTTAACAACCAAAAGTTGATGATCTTGAAATATTGTCCGTTCTTTATCTCAGAATGCTGAAGAATAATGTAAATATTGTTTGTTCGAGCAAGGTCTTTATTTATCCAATAATTAAAGTAATTTTTGTCCTTCTAAACGAAGATAGTGTAGTGTTTTATTATTGTTCTTAGTCGTCCTTTAATTATTATTGTTGATCTTTCAACATTATCAATGACATTTCTTAGAACACACGTCTGTTTGTTACATCATTTGAAAAATGTTATCCTGAAAAAATATTTTAAGTTGAGTTGAATTGAATCAAACTGAATAAGATTTGAATTTGAAAATGTATTTAGTAAAATATCTGAAAATTATATCAGAATTAGATAAAATGCTAAATAGTTTTTTGGTATAAGGCTTTTAAAACAGGATAGTTATTTAGTATATTTTCTAATAATATTTATTATTTGATTCTGGAACTCTTTTTTTTTTTTTTCAGCTTAAATAATATTAAATAGTTGTTTGGTAATTTTTTTATCACTAATTTACAAAAAGAAAAAAATTCTCCATAATAATTTTAACTACTGATACATAATTTAAAAGCTAAAAATTAAGTAAATTATAATATCGGTGCCATAAAGGAGTCATACAATGTATCTAAATAAGAAAGGATACTCATATTGTATTATAATAATGAATACAATTGAAAATGAAAATGAGTTGCGGATCTATATCATTACTTACAATCATTGGAATATAAAGAGATGAATATATATCAAGGATCATATTCATATACAATGCTAACCAATCCAATGGAAAATCGTGACAATATTAAACATAAGAACAATAGTTAAGGTGTAAAATACATCAAATGATACTAAAAACAAACCAGAAGGACACAGATAAGAGTGTCCTTTTTCTCCAATTTATTCAGAAAGCAAAACTACAATAACACAAAAACACAAACAAAACACAAGGCTCATAGAGCAAGCACTATTGTGCTTGTTGCCTCATTTCCCATTTGCAAAATTCTCTCTATTCCACCTCAAATGTCTTCCTAAATTGCAACAAATCCCAAATTTTTCTTCTCATCAGGGAGTGACTTTGCGACACTTTCCTTCTGCATACATCTCTTAGCCCACGCAATGCATTTGGGACACTCTGCTGCTACACTGAACTTGGCATACGTCTCATATGCGTGAAACCACCAATATAAAGGGATCAAAGATAAGTTGACATACCCAAAGGTCTCGCTTCAGCTGCCCCTCCAAGGTCTTGATTCCTTCAATGAATTCCTTCTTTGCGGCCTCTTGCGCTTTGCCTGTTGTGGTCCATGTCTTCCTCCCCGCATCATATAACTGCAAATTTCTTTACTAGGTTTGCATCTTTGTTATGAAATAGGTAAGATTTTAACACATCCAATATCATCAAGCAGAACCAAGAGAGGTGCCTTGACATTGTATGACTTTAGTTAATTATTTTCTCCAATTAACACATACAATGAAAATGGAGAAACGAAACCTTCATTCATTTCAAGCAATCACATCATTTATGTTGTTGTAAACCTGAGTTAGTCTTATCCTAATCAAGATTCAACACAATCAAACATAGATCAAATACAAAAAAGGAACAACAAACAATCTTTTTACCATGGTTCACTTGTTCAAGATTGAACAAGCTACGTCCACGTTGAGCTCCAGAATATGGAGGCTCACTGCACTATTATTATTGTCACCAAAGATTAGAAAACCACCACTCAATGTTCCCTTCAAGCCCGTACTAATAAGAATCACAAAGACTTCACTTCTATACCCGTAAATCTATAATCCTAATGAGAATTCTAACCTTGATTCTCTACACTACAAAGAAACACAACTTTGATGGGTGGATCAACCACTGATTTACACAAGAGCAAAGTACTATACAAAGAACCCTAGCAGAGCAGTTTTGATTGAGCTATTTTGATCGAAAGAGACTGTTCAGAATGGGGAAAGACTTTAGCTTTTATATGGTTGGCCAACAGTAAGTCTTCAGCCGTTAGATTGCTTGGAGATCAATGGTCAGAAATGCAAGATGTATTAAAGCTAAAACGACAGCGTAAATGCTTCACTCATTAACAATCTCCACCTTGAAGCCTTATTCTTTCTCTAGACAACAACACATACTCCTTCTCAGCTTTATAAGATCAGTTGATGTCTAATAGGTTTAAGCAATACTTGAACTTTGTAGGAGTTACCACTTTTTTTTCCATATCAGTTGGGTTCTCTTTAGTTGGTATTTTCAACAGATTCAAATTCCCTTTTGTGATTTGGTCTCGGACAAAATGATACTTCACATCCACATGCTTCGTCCTCTCATGATATACATGGATTTTACTTAGATGAATGGCACTTTGACTGTCAAAATACACAGTCACAAGTCCATCCATCAAACTTGCTTCTTTCAAGATCCCTTGCAACCATATTGCCTCCTTAAATGCATCAGTCACTGCCACACACCCAGCTTTTGTTGTGGACAGTGCAACCAATGGTTGTATTTGTGATTTCTAACTGATGCAGTTGCCTCCTAAGGTGAAGCAATAGGCTGTAGTGGATTTCCTTGAGTCTCAATCACTTGGAAAATCAGAGTCTACATACCTAACAAGATCAAGTGTAGAGTTTCTTTTGCAAAAGTCTAATCCAACATGCATTGTGTTGTTAATGTATCTAAGCAGCCATTTTAATGCAACCCAATGTTCTATTCCTGGATTTGAAATAAACCTACTCAGTAATGATATTGCAAATGAAAGATCAGGTCTTGTGCTTATCATGGAGTACATGACAGATCCTGTGGCACTTAAGTAAGGGATCATTTCCATTTTAAACCTTTCAGCATCAGTTTTGGGGCATTGTAATTTACTCAATGTAAAGTGACCTGCTAAGGGTATGTTAATAGGTTTAGATTCAGTCATTCCAAACCTAGAAGTCAGTTTTATAGGTATGGTAGTTGGTGAAGTTTCAACCTATTTAATTTTCTGTTTCTGTCAATTATCATCTCCAAAATCCTTTTTGCAGACCCTAAATATTTCATATCAAACTCAGCACTTAGTTTTGCTTTTAGTTCATCTATGTGTGACTTAGATTTGCATATTAATAGCATGTCATCTACGTACAACACCAAGTATATAGTTATGTTATTTATGTGAGCAAAATAGAAACAATTATCACATTCACTTCTAGCAAACCCAACTCCTACTACGAATGAGTCAAATCTTTTGTACCACTACCTAGGGGATTGTTTAAGGTCATACAGGGACTTATGCAATAGACAAACATGTTCAAGCACAGTCCTATCTCTAAACCCAGTAAATTGACTCATAAATATTTGTTCTTCCAATTCACCACGTAAAAATGTTGTTTTGACATCCAATTGTTCCAATTCCAAATCATAATGTGCCACAATTGATAGCATTAACCCACCCTCTATGTGAAGCCCTTAGCCACAAGTCTGGCTTTGAATCTTGGTGGGTCTGAGCTTGTTAGGCCTTCCTTTAATTTGTAAAGTCATTTACAGTCTACCAGTTTCTGGTCAGTTGGTTTTGGGACTAGAGACCAGGTTTTGTTCAACTTTAAGGACTCCATTTCCTCCTTCATGGCTTCCAACCATTTGTCTATGTCTCTAAAGCTGATGGCTTCTTGATAGGTTTCAGGTTCATACCTTTGTATCTCTACACCAACAACCAAGACTGTGTAGATTAGGTCAGCATAGCTGAACCTGTTAGGGGGCCTTATCTCCCTCCTAACTCTATCTCTTGGTAGCTGGTATTCTACCAGGTTTTCATTCTGGGCTTCATCAATTTTTTAGGTTGTTCCCCTTCTTCATCTCGGTCCTCATTATTGGGCAGTGAAGGATTTTGTGGTTCAAAAGCTTTTGGTTGTTCAAGGTGCTTTATCAAGCTTGTTGACTCCACCTCAAACTAAGATCTCTCAGTTTGAAAAGGCATTTCAGGATCACTTCTTGACTTACCTGCATTGTCATTTGAAAGCTTGCAAGGAAACATGATCTCATTAAAGACTACATCTAGAC